CTCTGTTTTTAACTGACAAATCCATACTTTCCCTAGGCTTTCTTAACTTGTTTAACTCACTCCAAAATTTGTTCTTATTTTCATTAAAATTTTTTGACAGTGCCTCTCCCACTCTGTCATCTGCTCTCCTTTTGCACTCTCTCACCACTCTCTTCACCTTTCTTTTACTGTCCATATACTCTGCTCTTCTTATAACACTTCTGCTTTGTAAAAACCTCTCATAAGCTAACTTTTTCTCTTTTATTACACCCTTTACTTCATCATTCCACCAATCACTCCTCTTTCCTCCTGCCCCCACCCTCCAATAACCACAAACTTCTGCCCCACATTCTAATACTGCATTTTTAAAACTATTCCAACCCTCTTCAACCCCCCCACTACTCATCTTTGCACTAGCCCACCTTTCTGCCAACAGTCGCTTATATCTCGCCCGAACTTCCTCCTCCCTTAGTTTATACACTTTCACCTCCCTCTTACTTGTTGTTACCACCTTCCTCTTTTCCCATCTACCTCTTACTCTAACTGTAGCTATAACTAAATAATGATCCGATATATCAGTTGCCCCTCTATAAACATGTACATCCTGGAGCCTACCCATCAACCTTTTATCCACCAATACATAATCTAACAAACTACAGGAGGGCCCCACTTATACGGCGGGTTAGGTTCCAGGCTACCGCCGTAAAGCGGAAACTGCCGTAAAGTGGAACACCCTTTTTTTCCATTTACAAATGCATACAAACACTAGATAACAAGTTTACACTAACATATATTATGTTAGCAATAGAACCAGGCATCAAAAACAATAAAAAAGTACAATACACACATAGTGCACTCATTACTTACCTTAAAATATTTATAGTCTTAATCTAGGGTGAGACAAGTAGTATTTATTGTAAGAAATCAAGTGTGGTATGTAGGTATCAGCCAGGCTACCATACCAGGCCACCCCACCCACACATACTATTCTATGATATTTAAGCATCCCAGAGCGATAAAATGTATATACAGTTCACTCATTACTTACCTTAAATATAGGGTGAGATGAGTAGTATTTATTGTAAAAAATCAAGTGTGGTATGTATGGTAGTCAGCCAGGCTACCATACCAGGCCACCCCACCCACACATACTATTCTATGATATTTAAGCATCCCAGAGCGATAAAATGTATATACAGTTCACTCATTACTTACCTTAAAATATAGGGTGAGATGAGTAGTATTTATTGTAAAAAATCAAGTGTGGTATGTATGGTAGTCAGCCAGGCTACCATACCAGAGAGAAAGAATGAATGCATGAGAGAGGACAGGCGCAGAGTTATGTAAACAAACCAGGCGAAGGTAAGTTTTGTAAACAGTGTACACGTCTGGTTTGTGTACAAGTTACATTGTGTACAGGTTGTCTCTACATTGATACGGTAGAATAAATAAAGAAGAACACTCCCATTCTCATGTAACATCATTTTGAGAAGAAATGATGCTCTGAGTGAAGGCAATGGAAGTAAGTCACTCTGACTTTTTTGGGTTATCCTAGGTTCTCTACACATATGTTATGTATTTATGTTATGTATCGTGTTTATTATATAATTTTGAAAAAAATATCACGGATGGATTAATGAAAATGTGTATATTAACGTAATATACAACATTTAATGATACACCGAGCTCAGACAGCGTAAACAAACAAACTGAACAGGTTGTGGACGATCACTCAGTCAGGCAAAATAGACGGTATTAATACGTGTCCAGTTTTAGTTCATTCATGTACATTTGTAAGATTTTGTGAAACTTTTACCTTATAATATTTTTTATTATTATAATAATTAAATCACGAAACAAATACTCTTACACTGTGTACAAGTTAGTACAGAATTATAGCTATAAAGTGAAGGCATACGAAAGGAATATTTTTCTACAGTTATCCCTAGTGACAGGTGACGGGCTAGAGAAAACGTAATTCTTCTGACACTTCTACAAACCGTTTGGTAAACTTCTCATATATATTTGTATAAATTTTTATACTGTGGGTGCATGTATCATGTTGTGTGTTACATAATGTGTTTCTTATATAATTTTGAAAAAAATATCATAGATTAGATTAAGGGAAATGTCTATATTAACGTAATATGCGACATTAATGCGCCCAAGAGATTATTATTATTATTATTATTATTATTATTATTGCATCAAGAGTAGAGAGACTTAGTGATTTTAATGTGTACCTACATGCCAGCACAGTGTGTAAGTTTATTTAGGTACAGGTGTACACAAGTTTAATTATCAAGTACAATACATATAAAATATACAATAACTTTAAAACACTTGAAATTTTGGAAAGTTTCCAGACATAATAAAGAGATGTGCTTAGGGAGAATGTAAACAAACTCGGTGGGCCGCTGTGACCGTATTAGAAAGACAGGTGGGGGGAGCCGTATAGCGAGTTTTGGTCATAATTTGAAATGTCTGTATTAGCGGAACGCCGTAAAGCGAAACGCCGTAAAGCGGGGCCCTGCTGTACTTTCATTACGTGCTACATCATACCTTGTATATTTATTTATCCTCTTTTTCATAAAATATGTATTACTTATTACCAAATTTCTTTCTACACATAGCTCAATTAAAGGCTCCCCATTTACATTTACCCCTGGCACCCCAAATTTATATATATACATGTATATATATATATATTTTTTTTTTTTTTTTCAACAAGTTGGTCGTCTCCCACCGAGGCAGGGTGACCCAAAAAAAGAAAGAAAATCCCCAAAAAGAAAATATTTTCATCATCATTCAACACTTTCACCACACTCACACATTATCACTGCTTTTGCAGAGGTGCTCAGAATACAACAGCTTACAAGCATATACGTATAAAGATACACAACGTATCCCTCCAAACGCCAAAATATATATATATATATATATATATATATATATATATATATATATATATATATATATCTATTATATATATATTATTATATATATATACATGTATATATATTATATATATATATATTATATATATATAATGTTATATATTACAGGTATATATATTTATAAAATATATATATATATATTTATTTTTTTTTTCACAAGTTAGGCTGTCTCATCACCACACAACACAACACACAACACACACACACACACACACACACACACACACCACACACAGCACATCCACACACACTCACACACACACACACAACACACACACAAAGAGCAACACCACATACACACACACTACCTCCTACTACCTACTACCTAACTAACTGACTACCTCTCTGATTTTCCTATTTTCTAGTTCTTGTGTATTTTCTCTATGACCATGGGGAATGTGGAACAGAATTTTCCGTTCTTCCAAATGTTTTGTTCAAGAGGCGACTAAAAGTGGAGCAAGGGGGCTAGTAACCTTTCCGGTAGATAAATGTACAATTTAAAAGAGTAACTTAATTTTCTATTTGAGAGCCTGCCTGGTGGGTGAGATCGCCAGTTTGTTTGAAAAAAAAAAGTTATTATCACATGTATCTTATATTTATATTCACAAATGAGTTCAACTATGGATGGTTAAATCGAGATGTGACTCCATCATAAATGAAGCAGCACCTGTATGATTATGTAAGTATGTAGAATGTTATGTATATAATACTGTTTTGTATTTACGTATCGGACGCATACCCTTCCGATTTCATAAATTCTGCTTGTTCGCGTGGTTAATGGACTTCTTCTTTTTCAAACTCTCTACTCCATTGGAATATCTCTGATCTTAGCTCCCTGTATTTCTAATCTTTATAACAGTAACGCTCCTCCATTCTTTAGACATCAACTTACTTTTCTCAAATAACTAACAACCCTTATATCAGTGGACCCGGTTAACGATATTTTTTCTCTCCGAAAGTATGTATCAGGTGACGTACTGACCGAGATTTGTTCCATAAGGATTTGTGAAGTAGGATTAGTACCATTTTACCCCAAACATACACATACATATGCATTACATAAATACACTTACATTATTGCCGCATTCGGAGGTTGATCGTTATGGGGGTCCACATGTAATCAATGTTCTGCACTCTCCTCCTGCTACTGATGATTCCAGAAACTAACTTATTTCCTGCTTGCTCTTGTCCCTTAGGAGAAATGTCTGCTTCTTTCAGACAGAGCCTTTCAATGTTGTTATGTTAGAGTCACAATTCTATAATGGGTCGTGCAAAACTATCTATTCTTTAGCCTCACAGACTCTGTCTTGTTGAAGCATTCCTTAGAATACCTTCCTAATATGGATCTTACTTCACCTGCTTTGTCTTTGTAGATCACTTCCTTTCATTACATTGCAAATGTCCCAAACTCAGAATGCGTTGTGGAGACTGATTATCTCAATCATCCTCCCTTAGCCTCGTTCTTTCCTGTATTGTTCTTCGGAAGTATGGAGGTAGCTGCCCCTGTTTTTTTCATGTGATTTTGGGGTACCCTCGTCACCATAGCTCTATAGAGGGTAATTTTTCTTGTTCTGAGACTACTTACTTACTTACTTACTATACTACTACTATTACTACTTACTATTAAGAACATATAATTACTACTATTACACATATTCTACTATTTATTATACTATTTTACTAGTATTAACTACTATACTATGTCTATTGTTACTACATGTACTATTACACTATAATCTAAGACTACTACTACTACTAGGACCACCACTGCCGCCGCCACAACAATTACTACTACTACTGCTGCTGCTGCCGTCTCTACTTCCTTCATATTATTACTTCTACCTCTGTCTCCTGTCCCTGCCTCCCTCCCATATATATTCTGGCTCCCTTCTGCTCTTCTGTGTGACTAGTTAATGGTCCAAGTTGGACTGAAATGTCGTCATAAGTTTTAAGTCTCCTATGTGTGGGTTATTTGTGTATTGTTCATTGTATATATATTTTTGTATTAAAGCTTTAAATTATTATTATTGTAAATGAATAAGTGCATATAACATAAATTCACAGAAGAACCTGCTCTTTCACTTGTTCAAGTACGTCGGTGAGCACGTCGCTGAGCTCGGATAAAGCTCCTGCGAGTTTGGACTTGAGCTTGGCACCAGAGCCTCCACCACCCAAGAACAGGGCATCCTCAAGTGACAGCCATGGTAGAACCTGCATGAAGGTAAGGCAGTAGCAACCTAGGGGTACATGGCTGCCACCATCATACTTCATTGTAGGACACTTCAAAATATCATGTTAGTGAAGCATGTTATGTGAGGCTGGTTGAACCCTGTTTCACTACAGTGACTGCTTGAGTTGGTGCGGATGGTCAGGGCACATATGATATTATTTTATTAATTTATTATTTTAATTATTATAAATGTTATTAAATGCAGGTTTAGTGCTTCAGGCTTGATCCAAGGAAAAGGAGGATGATTTTACTTCTCTGGACCACGAGCTCCTTGCAAGCATCAAGGTAGTACTTTCCTTGAATGATGCTTTAATTTTGGTAAACAATATCTTGAAACACCATGCAAATAAGAATGTTATTTTTTTTTATTTATTAACACGTCGGCCAATTCCCACCAAGGCAGGGTGGCCCGAAAAAGAAAAACTTTCATCATCATTCACTCCATCACTGTCTTGCCAGAGGGGTGCTTTACACTACAGTTATAAAACTGCAACATTAACACCTCTCCTTCAGAGTGTAGACACTGTACTTCCCATCTCCAGGACTCAAGTTCGGCCTGCTGGTTTCCCTGAATCCCTTCATAAATGTTACTTTACTCACACTCCAACAGCACTCCATTCACTCCTATCAAACACGCTCATGTATGCTTGCTGGAAGTCCAAGCCCCTCGCATGCAAAACCTCTTTTACCCCCTCCCTCCAACCTTTCCTAGGCTGACCCCTACTCTGCCTTCCCTCCACTACAGATTTATACACTTGAAGTCATTCTGTTTCTTCCATTCTCTCTACATGTCCGAACCACCTCAACAACCCCTCCTCAGCCCTCTGGATAATAGTTTTGGTAGTCCCACACCTCCTTCTAATTTCCAAACTACGAATTCTCTGCATTATATTCACACCACAAATTGGCCTCAGACATGGCATCTCCACTGCCTCCAGCCTTTTCTTCGTTGCAACATTCATCACCCATGCTTCACACCCATATAGGAATGTTGGTATAACTATACTCTCATACATTCTCCTCTTTGCTTCCATGGACAAAGTTGTTTGTCTCCACAGACTCCTAAGTGCACCACTCGCCCTTTTCCCCTCGTCAATTCTGTTATTCACCTCATCCTTCATAGACCCCATCCGCTGACACGTCCACTCCTAAATATCTGAGTACATTCACCT